GACTGACGGTCTGCAATAGGGGGGACACAAACGCAATTAACCCAAAGGTTCCGTAAGACTCACTCAACGTACTCGCAAGTTTGTGAAGTTACACAGCCACTGAAGTGGTTCCTATTTGGGTACTTCGGAGACACGGCGATATTTAGTATAAATGGTTCTTCATTTTAAGGTATTCTATCATCTGTAGCGTATCTCAAAGTAGCACAATAGACTCAAGGAAGATATTCAGTACAAGTGATCTTGAGGATAACTGTTTACTAAAAGTCAGCGTCGTAGTGAAACCTCACACTGGTTAAGGTACACAAACCCTTCGCGTTATGCATTCATTCGTACTTTCATTAGTTGAAATATTGAGTATTTTTAGGACCGATTAACCTCCATTGTTTGTTTCGAACGCTCCTGAGTCGTTATTTGTGCGCCCCTGTGTTTTCTCCAGCCTGAATTCAGTTCAAATTGCTTGGATACTCCGGAAAAAGTCAAACAGTGGCTGAAATTTTTCGAGATGGAAGCTCCCATCATTTCTGTCGGAACCGCAATTTCACATGATCCGGTAGGTTGCCTTTCATTCAGCATCCATTGTCATTGATAACGTTGTTAGCCGTGATTCTTATTTCTCTGTGCATGGTTACTAACCTCAGTAACAATCTATGACAAATGTAACTAGTGGTAAGCTGTCTCTGGATAATTCATCACCTGAGCATTTAGATCCAATATGATGTGCCCATCCCGACGAGACTGCACCTTGACGCGGTGTGATGGCTTGCGTGCCTCCGTGACCCTGCGAGCTACACAGGATGGCTCTTCACAGTCGTAGATCCAATCATGCCCTAAAGGTCAACGGGTAGAGGCCACACGAAGCTCAGTCTCACAAAGCCAGTTGCTTGCGCAACTAGTGGTTTCCCTCATTTATCCACAACCGCCCCTAGAGAGGCCATTCCAGCAAACAAACACGGTGAGGAGTAGTTTACCGGTAAAAAAAACGCTGGATGGACGTAGAAGCGAGGTACCTGTGCCTTCCTCTCGAATGTTGGAGAAGTTTTCGTACTTCATTGGACAGCTACCGCCCGCTCAAGCTGGGCAATAGGGTACTGTTCCGTCCAGGTTCCGCTTGTCCCATTGGGTGCATAAAGCTAAGGGCCGATCCCGAAAAGCGGACCGATAATCAACGCACCAGCGAACAACACAATAAATCGAAATTCAAAGGCCTTGCGTGACAGGTCTCCAGAAGCTCTCACACGGGTGCTTCGTTCACGCTCCCGCGTTGGATTTACGCCCCACTGCCTTGTGGGTCAGACTTTTGAGTCAAAGGCTCCGGTTAGGGTTCCTAAGAAAAATTCCCTTCATTGGTGTGGGCTACCGCGAAGTATGTCTTAGGCACCCATTTGGAAAATCCCCTTTACCAACTGTCTAGTTCTTCCTCTAAATCCCGAATAATCCCAAACGCCTGTTTACAAGACCCATCGATATCACTCGGCGTTTTAACAGCAAAGCCAAACAATCTGAAGTTACGGGATTTTTGAAGCATAAATTCCCTCTTCTCTCTTAGCCATGCTCGATGTCTGCACATTCTATCAGATAGGTCAACAAGCTGTCTTAGCTAGAAGCCTTTAAGCTTTCAATTTAGATGTGTGCTGTGTCTCCGAAACAAGCATACAAGACTCTACTTCAATTATCTTCCTACCTTCTCTTAACCCAACATCGACCTCACACCACCCTCTGTGTCAGGCGATTCGGCATCCGAACTTCGCGATGTTGCTGGTGCTGGGATTGCGCTAAGTGCCAAGGCTGAGCGCTCGCTGAATATGAGGTGAATCTAGTGACCCCTTGTGGAGGAGGTATTATCACATACATTAAGGATGACTAATGCAACAGTTTCACCGTTCAGTTCCGTCTATCCCCCACATTAACACATCCATTGTGGAATGTAAGCTCAAATAATTGAGCGGTTACCGGTCAGTTGTTCTCTCAACGATATACACCCTCTTCGCCTGCCCCTCAGATGAATCTTCTGAGTTGTCAAATTCTTTATCCGTTGCTTTAATGTATCATATAGAAGTTCTCTTTGTATGGTGTGGTGGTTTTAACCACTTTTGTACCCCTCTTTAAAGATATCAAGCTTGAAAAATTTGGTAACCCTTTCTGGAAGAATGAATGTTGCCTTTGATCTGTTTTTCGTAAACCACTCTTAAATATTTGTAGTTTCCGGTTCTCATTTTGGGTACTGTGACCATGTTATCATTCAGCTCCCCCCCCCCCCCCCGGTCCGACAGAATACGTGAATGCTACAATCGTTGCACTTCACCGGCATCACAACAGACTACAGCAACACATTTCAAAATGTTAATAGAGTTCAGCTGCTGCCCATTCTCGCAATCCACAGGGTCACTCCTCCTACTATTCCCCTGCTCAAGAACTATTTGAGTTGATATACAGTCAATTCTCGATGGCATTCATTACTCACTCCACTAACCAGAGTACTGACCGAAAAGAAAAACCAAAAGATCGAGCAAAGGTCTATCATTTTCAAATCATTATGCATGTTAGGCCATTGGGCGAAAAGAGCTTTGCTGTACTGTGATGGTTTATATCCGCATACGCAATACATGTTCCATGGATGAAATTGCTGCTAATTACTGAGTGATCGAACGGATAATGCAGTATACCAATTGACTGTGCACTCCCCTCCCCCCCCCCCCGNCAGGAAATTATAAGGTACGACTTGCTAACCGAACAAAAGTAGCGATTTTTCGGTGGAGTATTGCCGTGCATCGCTCAGTTGATGAACTGATAATAAAGCTAAAAACATGCGGTGAAGCTAAAATAGACATGAATGAAACATATGTATGAATCTTTAATAACTATAACAAACACTGTGGAATAACCGGATCTTGCGACCATTGTTGTAAGTTTCTTCCCTCCCATTCTATGCTGTTCGTGCTTGCTCCGTATGTGCGTATGCTTGTTGTCCTGAAATTATTTTATTTCGCACAAGTCTGAATCTAGCTTCGTGGAAAACAAATCACGGTGCAATCATATTTATAACAAAGAAGAAAGTCCATGATTTATTAGTGGGTGCGACACTGCGAGGTTGCGGGGCGGTGTCCAGTTCATTGGATCATACATCCTTGGGACAGGGTCAAACGTTCGAGTAGTCTAATACAATAAATTAAACCGGTGACTACTGCAACAACCAGAAAAGGGTGTTTCTTTCACCTTTTGGTTGGCTTGGAGTCAGATTTTTTACCCAAAGCTCTATAGGTGAACTGTCAGTGACTCACAACCCCATTTATAGCTCCGGATGTTGAATTTTTATCCTCTCACTTGAGTGGGGAAACACCATCGTGGGAAGGGCTTCCTCAACACAGGCTATTTGAGACGCATGGTCATATGGGTGCATTTCGCGAGATGTAAGATCAGGGTGAGTAGCCCCAACCTGAGACATCCATCTCATCCATACTGAGGCTTTCGCAGGCGGTTTCCTGAAAGGTAAATTGTCTTTTTGAGAATAACCACATTTGCTGAAAATGATTTACATGTGGGCTGAACACTGCCAGGTTGCCTAGGCCAAGACAAGTGAATTTTCCTGAGAAATCTACAACTGGAACCTTCGACAAGCCAGAACCTAACCCGCAAGACCACGAGCCGGTCACCACTATCACAACCGGGTGTGTGTGTGTGTGTAAAATTTTAACTCTCATTCCCGCATGGATGTGGCCCCAACCGCTGTTCTGTGTTTCCCAAGTCCTTGGCAAAGCCAGATCTTGTTAGAGTCGAATATGGGCGAGTGCGATGTTTTCTCACAGACTCACATTTTTGTTCTTCATTATTCTCACAGAATCAGCAGTGGAAACTTCGTCTGGAACATTTTCACTGTTTTAATCGAGATCGTACGAAAGCGGGACATTGCCACTTCGACACGGATGGAACGGCGGCCAGCTATCGGGCCTATCTGGTTCCAGGACGCAAGCTGTTACGAGTGGATAAACCACAGTAGCACGTGATGAGCTTCCAGATAGTCTTCAAACTCAAGCAGTTATGCAATAGTAGTTTATTTCATAGTTTTTCCCCTGCAGCTACCTAACCCAAGTTTGCTTTGAGATGTTTCATATTATCCTTTTCGATTCCCCTCCGATTTCGTGTAATCCCTGCTTGTGCAGCGTGATATTATTTTCGCCCAGATATTTCTGCTTCTTTATCTTTTTGTGTGATCTCTTCGATTGCAAGTCCTAGTCAGAACCGTTCATTAAAGCAGATCACAATTTTCCCCTAGCTTACCATTTCATGGTTCATTCTTGAGGCTACTAATGAGTGCTAGTGCAGTTTCTTGTGGAAATATTCAGAAGCATTTCAACAATTGGTTGGTTATTGCCAATTCCTTTATCTAGAGGAAATAATTTGTCTCACTGGAATTAGGAAGCCTCGTAGGAGGTCGGAATTGTTGTAAGTCAGTACGTCAACCACCACGTGCAACTTTTCCTACCGTTTTGACACTTGACAAGAAAATATTGTACACGTCCCTTCCATCCATGTATTTCTCGAGAAGTTAATCGAATTTCAATTCGACTGTATCAAACGGAATGGAATACAAATTTTACTATTCATGGAAAATACCATTCTTGCGATATCGAACTCGTGAAATCTATATGGATTCTATACGAACATTGTGCTGTCTGTTGCGGTTGGGCTTCGTTCGGACGTCAATTGACTGTACCTTAGGCTGAATGCGAGTGTAGATTCGTCGATATTTCCTCTTCGGTTGACATAGTCCTGGGAGGTTTCATGTTCCCAGAAACTTGAGGGCTCATTATATCCACAAATAAAACTAAGAAAGTTGAAAAATTCGCAAATCCGTCGGATTTTCAAATAGGTGTTACTACTTGAACTATCGGTCATTTGTTGTAGTCCCTTAGGCTAACATGGGCCCGCTTCGGAGCAGATTTCAAGCAGTGTTTTGAGACTAATTGTGAATAGAAAATTCATTAAAGATTTACTGTCGGCATCTGCTCGAGCAGTCTACGAGGGTCTTTTGATATTTGTTCTTAATCAAGGTTTCATGTGTACCATTGTGCGTTTAGTTTGACGTAACCCATTGAACCATAAACCATGTTTCGGTTGGATGTAGGGAGTAGACAGGATTGGAAAACTGAAAGCAGTTTCAAAATGGTAATTGAGAATTCATGTGGCAAGAGTATCAAGTAAATGCACGACTGCCTTTGTCCACGATTCGTTTACGGTCTCTACCCATTGTTACGCTGACGTCCCTAATCAGAAGGCCTGACGTGGCTTATATTGCCAGAAAATCACGATTTGCGACCGCTGTTATTGTGCGCTCTCAGTGCACTTCCTCTACCAGAGCCCGTCGTGCAATGAATTTAGGTTTACTCGATTCAGTTCTATAAACCCTAGTCTACGACCTGGCCTTCTTGGGTATACGCGCGCCGATTTGTTGAGTTTAATTCGTCGTGTCAATATTCTGATATCGTTCGAAAGAGAATTCTGCTTTCAAAGAGTCCTGGTTGAGCTTCCAGTTGTAAGCATTTTACGGATACATTTGTACTCTTCTGTTCAATCACAATTCCCACCACACAATTTTTTTGTTCCTCTGCGACCAGATAATTCGATACTGGCATCGTAACCTTCGCGTTGTTTGTGAACTTGCGATCATCACTGTCCCGGACCGGCGGGCGACCAAAACAACCAGCTCCGGCTTCATGTGCCCTTTTCTTCTTCAGTCTCGTCGTTCGGCAAAGTGCAAAAACAAGACCTCGCAGTATGTCAACAAGAGCCGCACCAGGTGTTTCACCGGTTTCGGGAGTATGTGGTCTAATTGGTTGGGAGAAAGACTCACACTACCCAAGATGCTTTCTTTCTTATGTACTAGACTCTTTGCAAGAGGTTAAACAACCAGCCAGCCGCTGAAGATGTGGAACCCCAATTGTGAACTACGTCTCATGTATTGAGAATAAGTCCGCGAGGATATTGTCAGCCGCCAAAAAAATGAATAATTCAAAAGCCATTCCACAGGAGGCAAAAAGAATGACCTTTCACATCATTAAGACCGACCCCAACGATCTAAGTGTTCAGCGCACCCTCAGGCTAGCGTACGCACACCGCTGAACCCAGCACGACGACAAAGATAGCAGCAGATGCCGTTACTGCCCTAGAGTTCATACATGATTCCCTCTAGTGTCAGCTGGTCTGCTAAAGATGAAAACCGTGAGTGACACTACCTTGACAGTGATTTTTCCAAATTTCCCCGAGGACACAACGCAGTCAATAAGTATAAGAAAAGCTAAGTGGCTGAAATGCATTGTGTCCAAATGTTTATTACCGACCGAAGTGTGGGACTCATGTGTTTGTCGGACGCCGATTTCACCTCACACTGGAAAATCAAGGTTACTTCGGGTGATATGGTGAGCAAGTCAGATGTAGAATATGCTTTATCTGGCATTCCCATCGAAATGATTCCTGATAAAATAAGGATTCCATCCGACAGACCATGAAGCGTGCTCATTCGCACAGAAGAACCATGCTAGCCCTAGATAAGTGGGGGATGCGCAACGCGGCAAGTAAATGATCCTATAACAACACAACAACTAAAAGAGCGGTAGTTTATCTATGATTTGGTTAAATGTGGTCAGGTTCTAGCTTCAGGAGTTAGCCACCATCCTGTTCTCCAGACTATCGCGTAAACGGTTCGAGGATAATGAAAATAAATTTGGGAATATCAGAAATGCATTGAGAGCGACAGCGGGGCGAACAAGCTCGCTTTCAGTTATTCGTAATCATGCCATTACATAACACTAGATCTGACTAACAACAAGAACAAGCAGGGAATGAGAGATTTCAGTCCTAACAGTTCAGAAATGGCTGCTGATGTCTTTCGACCGTGACGCGAGAACGGTTTGAGACCCATGTGGATCTCAAGACCGAAACATTTCCTCCATCAGAAAGTGTCACAACAAATTGGTTTACCACACGTTATACTCCTCGCAACCGGTTGACCAAACTCACGAAAATTCCCCTAACCAACCGCAACGCTCCGGTTAACTCTTGGCACCATAACCGGTTTCTGCTCCACCATCAATAGTTGTATTGTTTCTACACCACTTCCCAAGGTTTGTTCAACTTATTGTCAGTGACGGAACTGTGTTACCAAACTGGTCGGTGGTACATTGTGAACGAAACTTGGCTGACAATCGGTATTCTGGGATCATAATCACGCCAATCCGACATGACTTTGCTCAGACGCAATCGTCTTGCGAGGGTTAGCAGAAAACTTATGCGCGACGATTGCTTATCCTGCTACAAGCTGCGATTGTCTCATTATGAACTTGGTTAGTGTGACAGAACGTTATCCGTCATCAACGGACTCGGCTAAGCACACGCTACTACAATTAAATGTATGACATTATTTGCCTTGATTTCACTACGGGTGACTTCAATTAAATAAATGAAATGTTTTGTTTTATTTTTTATTTATTGGATACACAAGTGTACAGTCAACATTCAGGAAAGGGGGCCGCGGCCATACAAAGGCGGCCTGGAAAAATAAAGAAATAGGGTAGACGGGTGGCTGTGCCGAAAATCTGGCCAAACCAGTGACCTCTCTACAACGAGATGAACGGAAATTCATTTTGTTAATTCAATCGTGTCTAATTTACAAATTTTTGAGGTAACCAACCGGATTTGGAGCCAACCGATAATGGAAACGACTTCAACTACAACCCCATTGAGGCGCGTTGACGATGCTATTTTTTGTTTGACTTCATTTGCTATGCAACTTCAGTGCAACTGTCTACGGCTAAATCTTGCAGTTCATTGATGACACTAAATTTAAGATTTTGGCGCAAGGTTTTCAACAGATGTTTCTCGACGAACTGTGTGATCTCCTGGTATTCTGGCAAGAATCGATGGATGACCTCACGGAAATGGTGAAAGACCTAGCCAAGGTTAAACACATCCAACGATTTCATTGTAATAACAGCCAACTCTATCTCAAAAACAGTGTTTCAGGCTGACGCTCGAGAATAGTTTTATGTACCAAGGAGACCTGGCGCTCAAGTTTTTATTCCAATCCAAAGCTGTTGTATCAACACAACAATGCTTCCAGGAACGTCAAGTCGGATGTTCTGTCGCTTAGTTTGGCTAGACACCACAACAAAGGAGGCATCTGAAATGGTAAAAATGCAATACACTCACGTGTTCACTGCACCTACTAATGCCAGGCTAGGTAAGACTGCTTCAGCTACCACAGGACATATCCAACCATAAGCACGTTTATTTGTTTTTCTCAGAAAGGAAAATCTGAACTGATGTTTGGAAAGAATTTCACCTCCAGGGATAGATAATACTCATCCTCAACCTTTTAACAACCTGGCAAGCAACATTCAAACGTATTTTTGACAATACTGTGCTAACATGATTATGGAAACAAGGAATATTTTCACCTATGTACAGCGGGTAGCATATGATCTTAACAAACTTCCCAGCAGCCGTATCTATTACCTGACTATTTGTCAGTTATGATGAATTTCACAGTTGTTACGCACAAGCTTTTCCGCATCAAATATATTTCTCGCTTTTCCAGGAATAAGTTCCCTACAGCAACATGCGAACTGAGGAGGAATCAAAAAATCTGCGCAGTGTAAACCGGATAACCAGCAATCAAACAATTCGCGAGTTTCGTCTCATTCATTTATTCGTTAGAAATCCGTGATGGGTGTTAAACAAAAGGATATCGACTGCAGCAGACGCGAATAAGCTGCTTTTGCTGTTTCTATGCTAATCGAGCGAACCACTGCTTGAAAAACGTGTTCAAACTGGCCAACACATCAATCCAATTACATAGATCATAGTGCCACTTACATTGGGGCGGACAATTGATGTATGTGCATCAAAACTTGGCGACAGGGATAGTTTGAGTGGTAACACAACCAGCTTTGGTTCAAGGCACATGAATGTGGTTATCGAATTCAGTTGAGTGGTCGATTC